TGTTAATATTATTTGAATGAGGTGCATATATACGGAACCAGGACAGAGGGCACATTGACGTAGATGGATAGTATCACGAGACGGATACTGTCAAGGGCAATTAAGTGGGTAATGAAAGTCAGGAGTAAGTGAGAAAAAATCAGACCAATGCTTATAGGCAAAGGAAATAAAACCCTAGCAATAGAGTATTAGCTATAGTGTGACAGGAGGTAAGTATGTTTTGGAACAATATGTTCTACTTGAGTACTATGTATAACAGGCCTGATTACTTTAAAACAGAAACTAGGATAAACAAATCTGAAAATCGCACATTTGGATATGATAGCTTATAAAGTTATGAACATCTTGTTTTTGTGGAGTTAGGTTTATTCTTGAATTACCAGACTTCCAGGGATGGATCATAAAACTTGATAAATGAAACCATTTTGTTTCATAGTGTTCAATCGATTGTTAACTACAATATGTATATCTTTTTAAATTTTAGGCTTTAAAAAATGTTTATGATATCAACTACAAAATAAATTGTTAAAAGTAACACATATAAAACTATTTCCCACATTTGGAATATGATACCTAATAAAACTGTTAACAGCTGGCAATAAAACATCTTCCACCTATCTTGAAAAATAAGAACTACTATGGTAGGCTTTGTATATATAATTTATTCATCATACTTTTGGACCATTCTTGAAATATAAAATACATCAAGCTGATAGGCATGACTTGTTCACATTGGGTTAGTGCATTCTCTTCAGTTTTTAAGTTATTCAAATGACAATTGTTGACATTACTTTCATAAATGGCAAAACAACAATTTCTTATGAAATTACTTATAATGACTGAATGCATGTATTTAATTTTGATCAAGCCATAATGAACCTATATATAAAAAAAAATTCTTCCTCCTTTCCGAGCCTTTAATTTCTCTGTTACAAAAATGGCAGTAGACTGTAATGTGGAAAAAATTAACTTGATACCACAAATTTGATTACAAAAAAGCTGGTATAAAATTTTGAAATGTGGGAATATCACATCCATTTGGGTGATAACTTTTCAATTTCAAATCTTCATTTTTCTCACTGAACTAATTTCCTTGTTTTGAATGATAAACGAATGGACAGGTAATTCTAGTAAAAAATATACATGGAAGAACAATATGTTCTGCTTGAGTAATATGTACAACAGGCCTGATTACCTTAAAAAAAAACTAGGGTAAACAAGCTTAAAAATCGCATATTTGAATATGATAGTTTATAAAGTTATACCTTGTTCATATATATAACTGCAAAAGAAATATTAAATATTTTACAATTTAAAAAGTTATTAAATTAGTTCTCACTAAAACATACTTCATAACAAATATATGCTCGACAATAACTTTCAAAATTGTATCTGAGACACTGATAGACAAATACAATAATGAGAAACATTCTGAATGGGAAGATTCATCACTACTTGTTTTTACCATTTAACATATTCAGTGTTGCCTCAAAGATCGATGCCCATACCAGATGTATTTGATTTTTTGTTTTGTTAAAAAGAGTGGTTTTTCTTTACCATTTAAAATTGACTAATGTGTTTTTTTCCCCACAAATGATCTATTTACAGGGTTGGTTTATATCAGACTAATGATCATTAGACCTCAAAAATGCAATAATAAACACAGCTGGTACTTAAGTGGACTTCTCCATGTTTATAACAAAATTACAAATATTAGTTGCTACTTCGGTCAACTTCCATGAGTTTATTATCTTTATCAATTTTATATTAATTCATGTCATATGACCAATGAAAATGCCAAGTGGTTCATTTGTTTTTTGATATGAATAGGAAACAAACCATTCTCTCATCTGAAGTTGGAGACTGAAGAAAGTCACAAACATCATGATAAAGGCTAGAATATAACGATTGTAATTTCAAAAATAAGAATTTAACAAATATATACCATAGATTTTTAAATTGAATTATACCCTGGATGATATGATACATACTTTTAAATATCCACTTTGTTCTGGACTAACCAATTTCATGATAAGAGCAAAGAAGAATATAAAAAGAACTAGAGAGACAAGCCATATATGAATCTTATGCCCCAGTATTCATGAAAGGATTTGGGGTTAGGTTAATTTTTGTCTTCCAAATTAAGTGCCATACCCTGCAAAAAAAAAGAAAAGAAATGTTACAAACACCTTAACATTCTTATGAATGAAGATAAAAGTGTTATATTGTTCTCAATTTCTTAGGTCAATATAATTTTACAGTTTTCTCAGGGTGAAACATAAATAGTTAATTATGTGATTGGTGTTTACTTCTGTTCTTGCTGGTCTAATTATCCTACACATTTTCATTTGGATATAACTGTTTACCAAAGTTTTGTTTCACCCACTAATTGTTCAGAACTAGTAGTTTTTTGACATAAAAGTTTAGCATGGAATTTTTAAACAAGTAATATAAACAAATAAATCTTCTAACCTGAGTTAAAATATACAAACAGATAATATATTTCCAACCTGAGTTAAAATATACAAACAGATAATATATTTTCCAACCTGAGTTAAAATA